GTGTGTGTGTGTGAGAGAGCGAGAGTGTGTGTGTGTGAGAGAGCGAGAGTGTGTGTGTGTGAGAGAGCGAGAGTGTGTGTGTGTGAGAGAGCGAGAGTGTGTGTGTGTGAGAGAGCGAGAGTGTGTGTGTGTGAGAGAGCGAGAGTGTGTGTGTGTGAGAGAGCGAGAGTGTGTGTGTGTGAGAGAGCGAGAGTGTGTGTGTGTGAGAGAGCGAGAGTGTGTGTGTGTGAGAGAGCGAGAGTGTGTGTGTGTGAGAGAGCGAGAGTGTGTGTGTGTGAGAGAGCGAGAGTGTGTGTGTGTGAGAGAGCGAGAGTGTGTGTGTGTGAGAGAGCGAGAGTGTGTGTGTGTGAGAGAGCGAGAGTGTGTGTGTGTGAGAGAGCGAGAGTGTGTGTGTGTGAGAGAGCGAGAGTGTGTGTGTGTGAGAGAGCGAGAGTGTGTGTGTGTGAGAGAGCGAGAGTGTGTGTGTGTGAGAGAGCGAGAGTGTGTGTGTGTGAGAGAGCGAGAGTGTGTGTGTGTGAGAGAGCGAGAGTGTGTGTGTGTGAGAGAGCGAGAGTGTGTGTGTGTGAGAGAGCGAGAGTGTGTGTGTGTGAGAGAGCGAGAGTGTGTGTGTGTGAGAGAGCGAGAGTGTGTGTGTGTGAGAGAGCGAGAGTGTGTGTGTGTGAGAGAGCGAGAGTGTGTGTGTGTGAGAGAGCGAGAGTGTGTGTGTGTGAGAGAGCGAGAGTGTGTGTGTGTGAGAGAGCGAGAGTGTGTGTGTGTGAGAGAGCGAGAGTGTGTGTGTGTGAGAGAGCGAGAGTGTGTGTGTGTGAGAGAGCGAGAGTGTGTGTGTGTGAGAGAGCGAGAGTGTGTGTGTGTGAGAGAGCGAGAGTGTGTGTGTGTGAGAGAGCGAGAGTGTGTGTGTGTGAGAGAGCGAGAGTGTGTGTGTGTGAGAGAGCGAGAGTGTGTGTGTGTGAGAGAGCGAGAGTGTGTGTGTGTGAGAGAGCGAGAGTGTGTGTGTGTGAGAGAGCGAGAGTGTGTGTGTGTGAGAGAGCGAGAGTGTGTGTGTGTGAGAGAGCGAGAGTGTGTGTGTGTGAGAGAGCGAGAGTGTGTGTGTGTGAGAGAGCGAGAGTGTGTGTGTGTGAGAGAGCGAGAGTGTGTGTGTGTGAGAGAGCGAGAGTGTGTGTGTGTGAGAGAGCGAGAGTGTGTGTGTGTGAGAGAGCGAGAGTGTGTGTGTGTGAGAGAGCGAGAGTGTGTGTGTGTGAGAGAGCGAGAGTGTGTGTGTGTGAGAGAGCGAGAGTGTGTGTGTGTGAGAGAGCGAGAGTGTGTGTGTGTGAGAGAGCGAGAGTGTGTGTGTGTGAGAGAGCGAGAGTGTGTGTGTGTGAGAGAGCGAGAGTGTGTGTGTGTGAGAGAGCGAGAGTGTGTGTGTGTGAGAGAGCGAGAGTGTGTGTGTGTGAGAGAGCGAGAGTGTGTGTGTGTGAGAGAGCGAGAGTGTGTGTGTGTGAGAGAGCGAGAGTGTGTGTGTGTGAGAGAGCGAGAGTGTGTGTGTGTGAGAGAGCGAGAGTGTGTGTGTGTGAGAGAGCGAGAGTGTGTGTGTGTGAGAGAGCGAGAGTGTGTGTGTGTGAGAGAGCGAGAGTGTGTGTGTGTGAGAGAGCGAGAGTGTGTGTGTGTGAGAGAGCGAGAGTGTGTGTGTGTGAGAGAGCGAGAGTGTGTGTGTGTGAGAGAGCGAGAGTGTGTGTGTGTGAGAGAGCGAGAGTGTGTGTGTGTGAGAGAGCGAGAGTGTGTGTGTGTGAGAGAGCGAGAGTGTGTGTGTGTGAGAGAGCGAGAGTGTGTGTGTGTGAGAGAGCGAGAGTGTGTGTGTGTGAGAGAGCGAGAGTGTGTGTGTGTGAGAGAGCGAGAGTGTGTGTGTGTGAGAGAGCGAGAGTGTGTGTGTGTGAGAGAGCGAGAGTGTGTGTGTGTGAGAGAGCGAGAGTGTGTGTGTGTGAGAGAGCGAGAGTGTGTGTGTGTGAGAGAGCGAGAGTGTGTGTGTGTGAGAGAGCGAGAGTGTGTGTGTGTGAGAGAGCGAGAGTGTGTGTGTGTGAGAGAGCGAGAGTGTGTGTGTGTGAGAGAGCGAGAGTGTGTGTGTGTGAGAGAGCGAGAGTGTGTGTGTGTGAGAGAGCGAGAGTGTGTGTGTGTGAGAGAGCGAGAGTGTGTGTGTGTGAGAGAGCGAGAGTGTGTGTGTGTGAGAGAGCGAGAGTGTGTGTGTGTGAGAGAGCGAGAGTGTGTGTGTGTGAGAGAGCGAGAGTGTGTGTGTGTGAGAGAGCGAGAGTGTGTGTGTGTGAGAGAGCGAGAGTGTGTGTGTGTGAGAGAGCGAGAGTGTGTGTGTGTGAGAGAGCGAGAGTGTGTGTGTGTGAGAGAGCGAGAGTGTGTGTGTGTGAGAGAGCGAGAGTGTGTGTGTGTGAGAGAGCGAGAGTGTGTGTGTGTGAGAGAGCGAGAGTGTGTGTGTGTGAGAGAGCGAGAGTGTGTGTGTGTGAGAGAGCGAGAGTGTGTGTGTGTGAGAGAGCGAGAGTGTGTGTGTGTGAGAGAGCGAGAGTGTGTGTGTGTGAGAGAGCGAGAGTGTGTGTGTGTGAGAGAGCGAGAGTGTGTGTGTGTGAGAGAGCGAGAGTGTGTGTGTGTGAGAGAGCGAGAGTGTGTGTGTGTGAGAGAGCGAGAGTGTGTGTGTGTGAGAGAGCGAGAGTGTGTGTGTGTGAGAGAGCGAGAGTGTGTGTGTGTGAGAGAGCGAGAGTGTGTGTGTGTGAGAGAGCGAGAGTGTGTGTGTGTGAGAGAGCGAGAGTGTGTGTGTGTGAGAGAGCGAGAGTGTGTGTGTGTGAGAGAGCGAGAGTGTGTGTGTGTGAGAGAGCGAGAGTGTGTGTGTGTGAGAGAGCGAGAGTGTGTGTGTGTGAGAGAGCGAGAGTGTGTGTGTGTGAGAGAGCGAGAGTGTGTGTGTGTGAGAGAGCGAGAGTGTGTGTGTGTGAGAGAGCGAGAGTGTGTGTGTGTGAGAGAGCGAGAGTGTGTGTGTGTGAGAGAGCGAGAGTGTGTGTGTGTGAGAGAGCGAGAGTGTGTGTGTGTGAGAGAGCGAGAGTGTGTGTGTGTGAGAGAGCGAGAGTGTGTGTGTGTGAGAGAGCGAGAGTGTGTGTGTGTGAGAGAGCGAGAGTGTGTGTGTGTGAGAGAGCGAGAGTGTGTGTGTGTGAGAGAGCGAGAGTGTGTGTGTGTGAGAGAGCGAGAGTGTGTGTGTGTGAGAGAGCGAGAGTGTGTGTGTGTGAGAGAGCGAGAGTGTGTGTGTGTGAGAGAGCGAGAGTGTGTGTGTGTGAGAGAGCGAGAGTGTGTGTGTGTGAGAGAGCGAGAGTGTGTGTGTGTGAGAGAGCGAGAGTGTGTGTGTGTGAGAGAGCGAGAGTGTGTGTGTGTGAGAGAGCGAGAGTGTGTGTGTGTGAGAGAGCGAGAGTGTGTGTGTGTGAGAGAGCGAGAGTGTGTGTGTGTGAGAGAGCGAGAGTGTGTGTGTGTGAGAGAGCGAGAGTGTGTGTGTGTGAGAGAGCGAGAGTGTGTGTGTGTGAGAGAGCGAGAGTGTGTGTGTGTGAGAGAGCGAGAGTGTGTGTGTGTGAGAGAGCGAGAGTGTGTGTGTGTGAGAGAGCGAGAGTGTGTGTGTGTGAGAGAGCGAGAGTGTGTGTGTGTGAGAGAGCGAGAGTGTGTGTGTGTGAGAGAGCGAGAGTGTGTGTGTGTGAGAGAGCGAGAGTGTGTGTGTGTGAGAGAGCGAGAGTGTGTGTGTGTGAGAGAGCGAGAGTGTGTGTGTGTGAGAGAGAGAGAGAGAGAGAGAGAGAGAGAGAGTGCGAGTTCTAATTAGATTGTCAAAACTGTATGATTGACTACAACCCATAATTTCTCAGTGAATCATGGATCACCATGGTAACACTGGAACATCGGAAAACAAAAGTGGCCCTTACAAAACCGAGAGTGCTTGACATTTACCGAACGCAAAGAACAAAACCAGAACGCAACTACAGCGCACACAAGAGACAAAGAAAGAAAAAGGGCCATTCGTTTCGTTTTCATATTAGTATTATTTTTTCCTGATGTAGACAATATCACACAGTGATAATTCAGAGACACAAAGAGAAAGCAAGAAACAAGCATCTTGTAAACAAACCACAGCGTTACTCACTTAGTCCAATTCACCGCAAAAACCACACGGTACAAAAATAGAGCAACTCTCCGAAAGTCCTTCAAACTGACCCACATTTACGATTCAACAACACTGGAGCACCTCCTAAACATTCATTGTGTTCGTCTGAGGACGATAATGCTTTAAAACATTCCATTTAATAATATAATCAATTTATAATAATAATAATAATAATAATAATAATAATAATAATAATAATAATAATAATAATAATAGAAAAACAGCATAACTTGATCGTCAGTATTCGTACGCATTCTATGTTTTGAAACATCACGGTATAAACATTCGGCATTCGTGAGTTTTTGACGTAATCAGGAAGCCATGCCAACCGGGGACCAGGGAACAGGCGTCATGTGATCAAGACCCAGAATGCAATGGGGCCTGACGTCACATGAGGAGCAGGGTTACACAACAGCCAAATCCACAAACCGTGCTAAACAGCTGTTGGACATCCAGATCCAAACTCCTAGGACTTCACGTTCAGTTCGGCACTTGCGACACATGCGTGATAATGAGGTCGACGTCATCCTTGCGTTCCTCATTATTTTTCCCAGATTTTTTGCTGTATTATATATATATATATACATACACACACACACAGATTACACACAATTTAATTTAAAGCAAATAAATGAATGACAAATTAAATAAAAACTAAAAAAATATTATAAATTAAAAAATAATAAATTAAATATATAACTATTACAATATAATACAAATAATTTATATTATAATTTGTAGTATTATAATTATAGAATTATTAGTTAATTATAACTTATAATAAATTTTAAATTACAATATTAAATTTAAATTAAAGGTGATAAATTGCTACCTGTGCTCTGTGTAACGGGCTCATTTGCAGGCAGAAAATCTTCATCGTAAGAATCGTCATTAGACTCGTCACCGTCCACTGAAGACCAGGCGCGAAGCTTTGCCTCCGCGATGGCAAACTGCTCTGCCACTCCTGATAAAAACACACACATAATGACATTACATACTTCACACATCATATCTGCATCAGATTTAAACTAGATCACACTGCGGTCATTTCATCAAATGTGGCAGAGGGTGTGATGCGTCGCCGTGGATACAGGATGATTGATTGTTCTTATTGCCTGCCACATAGAAGCCATATTTGATTGACAGGTCATTTGAGATTGGACATTGCCTCGATGTGCGATGATAACGACATCACAGCAATGTCCTCGATGAGACAGGAAGTGACCTCAGAAACACACACACACACACACGATTGGGTTAGAGAGCCAATTAGCTAATTAAAGCTCTTACTCTCTCACTTTATTGACAGGACACAATTATTTTTATTTACTTCAGAAGCACTTGCAGCATATCTGCGTACAGTGAGAAATTGCAAAATATGTACTATAAAATTAAGTAAAAATACTGCAAGCTGAGATATAAACAATTAAAATAGGTGCAATATATATATATATATATATATAAAAAGAAAATTTTTTAAAAATACAATAAAAGCTAAATAATTAAAATACCAATAGGTGAAAAATAAGATTATAGAGTAACAATATAATAATAAAACACATTAAAATAAATAAAAATAATTCATGTCAATAGGTGCAAAATAAAGTAGAATGCAATCAAATAAAAAAAATAATAAAAATAAAAAACTAGAACCTTTTTGCTCAACGAGGTCTTTTGAGGACAGCTGATTGGCCAGCATTAAACCAGTATGGAAATTAGCTATGAATTTAACAAAAAGGAATAAACAATTTGGGTGCAAAAATAACCAGTATTAAAACCCTTCCTCCATCTGTCATTGGTCAGTCAAACAGATAGTCCCGCCTCCAAACTCACATCATTGGTTGAGGTGGACATGTCAGGCTTCTCAAACTAACAGATCAATGTTTTGAATATAGATGGAGTCTCGGTTTCTCTCAGCAACTTTGCTTGCAATAATTCATCCTTCCATTGATCTTTTACCCTTCAGCAAACACTCACACACAGCGAGTTTTGGCAAATTTCCTACAGGTCGATTTTATCCACCGAGTCACTGAGTGTGTGTTTCTGCAGGATGGACCTCACCCCCACACACACACACACACACACACACACACACACACACTATGAAAAGGACAATCCTGCGACATTGACACAGAGAAAGAGAGAGCGGTGAATGAATTCCTCTAAGGTTTGGCCCATAAATCATTGTGCCTTTGTTGCTCTTGGTCTGACGAAGCATTTTCTCTGCAAAGTATTCTTCAGAAGACAGACGGGCTCCCGTCTCACCTCTTCCTCATCTTGGGAAAGGTCAGAGGTACAGACGGGAATCGTTTAAAGCATCGTTAAGGAAGTGGAATCGTTAAGCAAACAAACTGATAACTCATGAGCTCAATCATTAGTCCGATTACTCATTAAAGGAGCTGGTTCTCAAGAGTTATTTCTCCATCAGTCAAACTCGGTTGCGTGGTTTGTTAGCGAGGTCAGTGCAACAGTATTATTTATTGACTAATTTCGCTCTCATCAATAACGACTATACTTTTGGATGACGTTTTTATCCAACCCTTGCCAAAAAGTAGTATACTTCAAGTTTCAAAAAACTTGTAAAATAAAGTTTGCTATTCTTTAAAGTAATTAATCAACTGGGTAAGTATGGTGGTATCGGTTTATTTTTTTACAATATTCACCTATATTGTCTGTCCTTAAAATTAAATGCAACACACAAAGCATATAAAATTTTTTGGTTTTTTTTACATGAAAAAAATAACCGTATTAAACTTATTATTAAGAGGACAAAACTTCAGTTTCTGTAACTTAATTCAATACAATATAACAATCAAAGCTTCTGATATGGTGACATGCCTAAACTACTGGAAGTGATTAAATAAGGAGCGGATCTCTAGCGGTCACTGACCTGCAGCGAATCGTGCCTCCTGCTCGCCCTCGGACAGATGCGAGTATGACGTGAGGTGTGACTCGAGGGCGCTGGGTGTGTCGGTGGGTTTACACCAGCCCTTCCACTCGATCAGGTGAGCCACGCGGCCATGCGCCATCGCCGTGGGCTTCGTCACATGATCTTTGACCACCTGCGAGATACCTGAACACACACAGACACAGGGGTCAGTGACCCGAATGCTGCATAATACACGAGGAATAATCCAGGTCATGCTGTCAATCAGTACGACACAAAGGACTCGTCACATGCATTGAAAGCGCGCGTGTGTGTGTGTGTATGTTTACTGTGAAGATCTAGTGAGCTGTGATCTCTTGTATTCACAGTGTGTGTGTGGGTCATGTTCTGTGATCTTTGCGGAGACCAAAAGACCTGAGAACAATACAGCATCTCAATGGAGACGCGTCATTTTCAAATCTATTGTTATTTGCCATTATTGCTGTAACATTTATTACACTACCATTAAATTACTGCATTAACTATTGAGAAGGGTTTAAAAAAAGATGCATCACCAACAACAGGAACTTAAATTAAACTAAATAGATATTTGACTATTGGTTAACATTAATCAGTATGAAATTAAATGCATTTTAACTACTGACGAGGTATGGTGGTATATATTTTTTACTCTGCTCACCTGTAGTGTCATGCCTTTTAATAAATGCAATGATAATGCAAGTTTTGTGAAAAAAAAGGTTTAAACTTGTTATTAAGAGGACAAAACTTAGGTTTCTGTAATTTAATTCAATACTGTAGAGAAGGATTTAAAAAGGTGCATCACCTACAAAAGCAGCCTAAAATAACTAAATAGATATTGGACTATTGATTAACAATAACCAGCATTAAATTACGGTGTTAATTATGGATAAGGTTTTAAAAAAAGTGCATCACATACAACAGCAGCAACCTTCAACATTGGTTAACATTAACATGCATGAAATTAATGCATTTTAACTATTGGCAAGTTTATATAAAGGTGCATCACTTACAACAGCAGCCTAAAAATAAACTAAACAGATATTTGACTTTTGATTCAAATTAACAATCAGCATTAAATAACTGCATTTTAACTATTGACAAGTTTCTATAAAGGTGCATCACCTACAGCATCAGCTTAAAATAACCTAAATAGACACTGGACTTTGTTAACATTAATCTGCAAGACATTAATGTATTTTAACTATTGACAAGGTTATAAAATGATGCATCTCCTACAACAGCAGTTTAAAATAAATAGATATTTGATTATTGGTTAGCATTAACATTAATCAGGGTCCCATGAGGTCTACATGTAAATTTGATGTAGAAACAATTTTCACTCAGAAAGTGCTAGTAAATTTCAATTAATTACAACAGAAACCGCAAACACATTGAATTAAACCAGTTTTTGATGAAGAAAGACTGAAACATACTTCAATAATCTGTTTTATTAACAACTGTTTTAGAGGTTGCGCAAATTAATTATTATATTATGATAACATTTTTTAAATCACAAATATTCCTGTAAATATTTAAACAAATGTTATAGTAGGGTTTGGATGTGGTATCACAATTTGTTAATGAAATCAACAAAAGTCAGCGAGAGAGCTGCGATCTTTACCGTGAAGTGAAGATCTGGCCAGCGCTGCGATCTCTTGAATGGTGAGAGCTCGTCTGGATTTAGGTAACATGTCGTTGCGGTCCTCAACATTTACCTGACAAGAGAAGACAAAACACTGAAATGAAACTCTTTAAGCTTTTACTCGAACGGTTTCATTTAAAATGACAACAACAAGTTTTTTCCTCTTTTGTAAGTGGCTTTGGATAAATGCCTCTGCTAAATGCATAAATACATACATATATATATATACACACACACACACACACACAGTAGAGTAGAACAGTAGAAAATAAGAGACCAGATTAGCATAGAGGACTAAACATAATAGAATAAAAGGACTTAAGTACAGATAGAATAGGAGTACAGTAGAGTCAAACAGAATAGAAAATAATAAGATAGGGGGAAAATGGAATGGAACGGAACAGAATAGATCAAAGTAGACTAGTCTAAAGCAGACTAGAACAAATCTCGGTTTCTCTATTTGCATTCAAACCAACCCTATGAGCGAGCACACACACACCACACACACACCCACACAGTGAGAGATCCACAGGTTTTATAACCGCAAACACAGTAATTAAACAGGAGCCCTTTGACATCAGGAGGCTCATCCGTCTGAACAGTCAGTCTGTGAGGCTGGAATACACACGCATCTCATCATCAGACCCCACGGCTCCTGCGCTTCAGCACAGCAAACGAGCAAAGACGTGATTCACTACATTCCCAAACACACACACACATGATGACTAGTGAGCAGTGATACCGGCTCTCCGCTCGCTCCACACAGGAACAAAAGCTTCTTCACATGAGTCGGTCATCAGGGACATGCCACGTCGCGCTCACACCCCGTTACTCCGCTGGAACTCGGAAGGAAACGAGCATTTCTATAGCAACCAGTCACCATGGACCGATTTCTCCAAGGATACGGCCGGTTGGATGCTGGATGACGTCACATGCGGCACGTTCGATCAGATGTTACTGTGTGTGTGTCTCTCATGAACACACACACACGAGAGCCACACGTTACACGCAGCCTTTCCTGCAGTCTGGATACACACAGCACACACTCCCCATCATGACACCCGTCTCTCTCTCATGAGACCCACAATTCCCTCTGAGGTTCTCCCGTGTTGCAGCATCACACCAGTGTTATTTTACAGTGTTTATATTCGGTAACACTTTATTTTACGGTGTCCTTGTTGCACACGTTACATGCACTTTAGTAATAACAATAAATTATGCATAATTGCATGCAACTAACCCTAAACCAAACCCTCATCCTAACCATATAGTAAGTACATGTAGATCTGGGCTATTCTTGTTAACTAAAACCATTAAAACAAATATAAAACATGGACCGATTTCTCCAAGGATACGGCCGGTTGGATGCTGGATGACGTCACATGCAGCACGTTCGATCAGACGTTACTGTGTGTGTGTCTCTCATGAACACACACACACACGAGAGCCACACGTTACACGCAGCCTTTCCTGCAGTCTGGATACACACAGCACACACTCCCCATCATGACACCCGTCTCTCTCTCTCTCATGAGACCCACAATTCCCTCTGAGGTTCTCCCGTGTAGCAACCAGTCACCATGGACCGATTTCTCCAAGGATACGGCCGGTTGGATGCTGGATGACGTCACATGCGGCACGTTCGATCAGATGTTACTGTGTGTGTGTCTCTCATGAACACACACACACACGAGAGCCACACGTTACACGCAGCCTTTCCTGCAGTCTGGATACACACAGCACACACTCCCCATCATGACACCCGTCTCTCTCTCTCTCATGAGACCCACAATTCCCTCTGAGGTTCTCCCGTGTTGCAGCATCACACCAGTGTTATTTTACAGTGTTTATATTCGGTAACACTTTATTTTACGGTGTCCTTGTTGCACACGTTACATGCACTTTAGTAATAACAATAAATTATGCATAATTGCATGCAACTAACCCTAAACCAAACCCTCATCCTAACCATATAGTAAGTACATGTAGATCTGGGCTATTCTTGTTAACTAAAACCATTAAAACAAATATAAAATAAACATTAAAATAAAATATAAAAGACTTAAACTCAGTTCATTTCAGCTAGTTTAATGGGATGCACTAACTAAAACTGAAATACAATTTATAAAAACTATGAAAATAACTAATTTAGTTTTAGTTAGATATTAAAATATTTTTGTTAGAAATTATAACAAATAGAAAAATTAAAATCTACAACAAAAACTATAGTATATCAATGATACAAAAATAACAAATGCTACACTATATAAAATATAAGGTTACATTTTATTTTACAGTGTCCTTGTTACAGTGTATTATACATTTAAATACTGAGTAATATTAAGTAACAGTAGTTCTCTACTAGTGGGTTGTAGGTCTGATAGATACACATTTAATGATTTTATTAACAATTAAATACATAATTAAATAAATAAAAATATTATTTTGTAATAATTCAGTAATTTAATTTCCAGTTATTTATATTTGTTTTGCACTGAAATTTATAAAAGTATACATTTCTTTAAATTATTTTTTAAAAATGATATATATATTTTTTTAATATTTTCATAGTATACGTGTATTACACATACATTTCTCTACTTTTTTTTATTGGGTACATTTATAAGTATACACAAGTATGCTATACACAAATACGAATTTATTTCATATATATGCATTTAATTAGATGAATGCATACTTGGTGTAATAAATGTAACAAAGTAATACATTTTAAATGTATAAAAATGATTATATTATAATTAAATGATTGGATATAGATATATATATATATAAATAACAGGAATGATTATTAAAAATTTGAATTATTAATAATTTCTAATTATTATAGTATAAATTAATATTTTAAACATTAATTGCTTTAATTTACAACAACACCTACACACTAGAGAAAGCTCTGACAGAAAGATTGACAAATATGAATCGGTATATTAATTTTAAGGCGTGAAATCAATTTAACATTTGATTTAGTTGACATTTCCCCAGCTTGGGTCAAATGGGTGTCAGTTCCACAAAACTGAAATTCATAGCATTGTGTCGCATTGTAAGCTTTTGAATTTTTTCATCCAAATCAGATAAATAAAAGCAGATCAGTGTCACGGTCAAACAAAAACTCAAATCCAGGACTAAACTAAAGCTGAAACGCTAAAGACGTCCCGTGGAGTTACTCACGGTTGCGAGGCTGTTAAATGACATGAAGTCTATCGGCAAAACACGTTTGAAAAACCACATTAAGAACCAATTACTCAGAATGACTGGTGAATGATTAGAAGACTAACTAGTGAACATTTAATGAAACTCAGAGCGGGGAACCGAGTCTAGTGCAATTGGCCCGCTAATGACTTGGACGCTCGGGTTAATTAGGTCATTATCAATCTGAGAAACGCGGAGAAAAT